GAGAGAGAGAGAGAGAGAGAGAGAGAGAGAGAAAGAGAGAGAACACAGAGCTGAGGCAGGTGGTGGTGGTGGTGGTGGTGCTGGAGGTACATAAGACAGCCAGTGATTTGGAAGAGGAGGGGACAAAGGGCAGGAAAGCCTTGAATATGGAGTGAAGACCCTAAGGAGGAGGAGACAAGATCCTGCAGAAGAAAGGGAACTCCAAGGACATGAGAGAGATTAAGGATGCTTTTCCAGTTAGAGAAAAGGAGAGACCCAGAGGGAGGGGAGGGGACAAATTTACTGGGGTGCGGTAGAACAGCGGGGAGCACAGGGAGTCTGAGAGAGACAGAGGCAAGTTCACAGACCACAGGAGGTACAGGCTCATGGGAAGAGAACCCCAGAGAGCCCATCTTCAGGGGCTGAAGACTGCAAACCAGGCAGGAGGGATCATGCTGAGTTTGTGAGAGAAAGAAATATCTGACAGAAAACCAGACGAGAGACCAAAGACAAAGGTAGTTGAGCCACACAGGGAACAAGGGAGAGAGAGAGAGAGAGGAACAGTCAGTTGCACAGAAGTCAGCATGCTGGGAGCTCCGGAGCCCTGGCTGACTCCAAGGGCACTGACAACCTCACATACAGCCCTGGGACCCCCAGCATAGCAGGAAACACTAACTAGTGTGTACTGAGCACCTACCTGGCACTGGACCTGGCACTCTGCTTTCTGGTCTTCCCACATCGGAGTTCTTTATGGTGGTGTCTGTCCTTCACATCACTGGCTTTCTGTGGGACAGAGGTCACATCCTACACACACAGTATGTGTTTAGGAGTCTGTTTGCTGTGGGATGGTTGTTGGAGTGGGCAAAGGAATACCTGCTTACTTGGGTAACGAACTGAGCCAAGAGACGGAATTAAGGCATGTGCCACTCTGCCTGGCTTTAACCTCTTTGTGGTTCGGCCTTCTCAAGAACAATGCCACCTTACATTTTTGCACAGGGTTATAGCTTGTGTAGTTCTTTCAAGTTTATTATATTATTTATCCCTGAGTTGGAGAGCTACAGGTTTTATTGCCATTTGAGGGACAAGAAAACAGAAACACCAGTGTGTGTGTGTGTGTGTGTGTGTGTGTGTGTGTGTGTGTGTGTGCAGAAACAAAGCTCACATACAATTGGCACCAGAAGCTGTATCAGGGCTCTGCCCAGAATTAGATGCCACTTACAGGTATGAACTTGTCCACAGAAGGAGCACACCTGGCTGAGGAAGCTGTCCAGGTGTGTGGGGCCAACCAATGCAGGATGTTCAGGACAGGGTACTGGGAGGGTAGAATGTCAGGGCAGGGCTTTCTTTACCCTTTTTTTTGTGAGTCAGGTTCTCACTATGTAGCCTAGGTTGGCCTCAAACTTAATGATCCTCCTGCCACAGCCCCCCAAGTGCTGGAATACAGATATATGCCACAATGGCAGGCTTAGGGACATCTGTGTTTACCCCAATGCCCAGTATATCTGGTTTTGAATCCAGGTGCTAGGCAGAACTCTTGAGGAAGGATTATTCAAATTCTGTTTGCTTCAGTTTCCTTGTCTACAAAATAAAGATAGTAATCATTGTTTCTTGTTGTTGTTGTTGTGTGTGTGTGTATGTTGTGTTGTGTTTGTGAGGTGCAGATACTTGTTATTGTGGGTTTGTTCATGTGTATGTTGTGCATGTGGAGACCAGAGGTTGATGTTAGGTATTTTATTTGATGACTCCCCCTTTTTACTTTTTGAGACAGGGTCTCTCACTATACCTGAAACTTGATTTGGCAAGGCTGTCTCGTCCAGCAGATTCAGGACCCACTGTCTCTGTCCTGTAACTTCCAGCACTGGGGTTACAGGCGTGTGATGCCCTTCTTCTTCCTCTTCCTCCTCCTCTTCTTCTTTCTTCATCTTCCTCTTCTTCTTCCTCCTCTTCTTCTCTTCTCTCCTCCTCCTCCTTCCTGTAGGTTATGGTAATCTGAACTCAACTCTGCATGCTTGTGTAGCAGGACTTTACTGACAGAGCCATTCCTAGCCCCATTATTAGTCCCATTTTTATGAGAATTGAATTAGTTGTCTTTTTGTTTTTGCTTTATGTGGTTTGAGAGAGGGTCTTATGGAGTCCAGGCTGGTCTTGAATTCACTATATAACTAAAACTGCCTTGAACTTCTGAATGCTAGGATTGCAGACATGCACCACCACATTCTAGCTTACGTATTAATATTTGTAAATCATGTATACCAGCATCACTAGTAAAAGTTTCAAAAGGACTGTTAAGTCAATCAAATAAATAACACAATAAGGCAGGAGGCGTTTTTTCAGAGACGAGATCTGGATTACTGAGTGCTAGCGTGAGTCAGAACGCTGGACAGCTCCCAAAACTTTCAGTCCACCATATTGGTTGCTGGAGAAACCCTCTGCCAGAAACGCAGATATCAGCATTTAGTCTTCATTATCCTGAACCCGGGGATTCTCCTCAACACCCTTGCTGTCTGTGATGTGAAGGAAGCCACAGAGCTCTTCACCAGGAGGGCTCATCTTGGGGTGGGTGGTGGCAGTGAGAAGTGTGTGTGTGTTCCCACAGGTGTGCTCCCATAGAAGCATTCCTTCTCATGAGGGAATGTGTCACATGTGTAGTGTTGGAGATGGGGGACCCAGAAGCTTGTGTATGGTGTGGACAGGGCATATGGCCCCACTGCTTCTTCCCAGAATAATCATTAAGGACAGAGACAGGACTCGGGGGAGTTGATCAGGGAATGGAGACACTAAAAGGTTCCTGCAGTCGAGATGGAAGCTAAGGTCTCCATACAGCTCACGCACGCAGCTTAGGACCAGGAGACTTCCCATACCCTTCCCTCAGAGCTGCTCCAGCACCCCTCCGCCTCCAAACAGCCTAAGCCCCGCTGATGAATGACTTGTCAGGAGAAGAAATGAGCATAATGGCTCTTATCTCTGGGCCCCCCTCTGTGCGCCAAGGCTCTGATACCCTTCACCTCATCTGATCCTCCCCAGAACTCTGTGAGTTGGACATTGCCTGTCTCATTTTACTCATGAGGTTCATAGAAGAAAATGGAGGTTCATAGAAGTCCTGTCACATTCCTGAAGAAAAACTACGGACAAATAATGAGTTTTTTGGTCCTTTCTTTCCAAGAAATGCCAGTCTCGGTGCTAGGAGTGGATGACTGCCTCGTTGTTGCTTTCTTTGGCTATAGCACATAGGACCCTGGTGAGTCACAGCGTCAGGCATGGTCGCAGTGACAAATTCCTCAATAGTTTAGTTCTGCTAGAGAAGATACTTTCAGTAGCTGAGGTCTTGCGTGGAGGATGAAGCTCAATGGTAGAACACTTGTCTGGCAGGTGCAAGGCCCCATCTCTAGCACTGCAAAAAAATGTTCGAGTCTATTTCAACTTATGGGTGAAATGAGTACTCCCTCAGACACCAGTTCTGATTAGGGCCTCCTATACTCAACCCTGTCTGCTAACATCCATCTCTCCCCTTCCCTCAGAGGAGGTGGCTGAAGGGAAGAATGCCATCCTTATTGGAATGAGCCAGTGGAGCTCCAATGACCTGGTGGAGCAGATTGAGACCATGGGGAAGCTGGATGAACATCAAGGTGAGCCTCTGCCTCTCCCAAGGCCTGGCTGTGCATGTGTGTGTGTGTTACAGGGTAGGGGTGGCGGCTGCCCATTGTGCCTGGGAACTATAGGACTCTCTGAGGGGCCATCTGTGGGGCTGCCTGGGACAAAACAACTCCAGGGCACTTCAACAGGATACTTCCTTTTTTTCATAGAGTGGCACTAGGGGGCCATGGGTGATTAAGGGCAATCTAGGTCAAACTGTTAGAGTTCTAGGTCTATGAGGTTGAGATCTTTTAGATAAGATAGGCTACCAAGAACTAACCTGCTCACAAGATCTTCATGAATCCCTTCCCAAGGCGGTCACAGCCCAATCACTTCCTACCAGACTCCATCTTTAAGAGGCTCTACTGTCTCTGTGCTATTACACATTCGACTATGCTCCCAGCATATGAACCTTTGGGGACAGACACACTCCATCCCTTACATTCATATCATTTTTCCAATCCTTTCTTGGCCTTGACACTAGACAGTTTTAGTCTGGGCAAGCCAGAGTTGCTAAGCAGCCATAGCCATCCTATCAGGAGCTGTCCAGAGAAGGTGGTGTTGGCCCAGCCCAAGAAAATGGACATCTTGCCCCAGTACTCACTCCTTTTCTTATCCCACATCTCTTCTACTTTGAGTCAGAGCTTGTTCCATGTAGAAGTACCTATCCTGAGAGATGAGCAGGCTCAAGCTATTGTTTTCATTTCATGAATGAAGAAGCTACGTGAAGCTGAGTCCTGGCCTTATTTAAGGTCCTTCTAGGCTGGGACATCATCTCTAAATTGGCTTTAGGGGCCAGATGAAGACTGGATCCTTCATTGATGTGGCAGTAGTCTAGGGACTTGGTCCTACTGGTGTGGGACACAGTGCCCCAGCCATGTATTTGCAGATGGGTCCTCAGTCTGCTCTTTGCTTCGCCTCAGGAGCTCAGAAGGAATCCAGAATGGGTCACCTATTCTGGATCCCCCCTCTCCAGCCATGCTTGGTAGCCACAAAAGAGACAAACCCAGGTTTGTGCTCATCACTCAGTTGGCCTTCCCTCCCCACTTCCACCCCCACCTGTCTGCTAAGGCTTGTGTGACTCAGACCCAGTGTGAGCTCAGCAGGGGTGAGGGAGAGGCAGTGTGAACTGTGAGGGTGGGAGGGTGGTGGAGGGAGAAGTGGATGGGAGAAGGAAGCAGAAGGGAGGTTCATGGGTCAGGCAGAGCCTCTGAAATGTAAGGTCTGCACAGGACTCTCAGGCCTGCTACATCCCAGTACCTCTCCCAGTCTGGTTTCTTCATCTGCAGTGTGGGGGAATGAGTAATAAGGGTGTGAGAATTATGAGATAATACTTGCAAAAATGCACGCAGGTCATGATGATGGAGTGAGCAATCTTGCACTTCATCAGTATCTTGCTGCCTGCTCCAAGCTTTCTACCCTTCCACTCACGTGTCATCCCAGGGACCCCTTATATGGTAGAGCCTGGCTGATCACCTTACCTCCAGCCAAGAACTCTTAGGAGCTCCAGACTCCTGCTTGTTGGTAGCATCCTGTCTGCATGACTAAAAGACCGCTCATGCTCTGCAGCTTCTGAATGCAGCTGACCTTCCTCCACCCCTTGAATGATCTTTTGATTTCCATCTCTTCTGTTCATCACTGTTTCTATCATGCCACGCAGGCACTTCTTGGCTATCCTAATGTCCAGACTTTGAGGGTGCTGACTCTGAGGAGAGTGTACCTGTGCTCCTGAGTTATACTTCTTCTTTTTTGCTTTTTTAAATACGTCTTGGTCACCCAGTTGTCTGTTCTGTGGATTTCTTCATGTCCTAGATCATGCACATGTCCCCAGAGAGACTGGTTTTGCATGCTTTCTCTCTTTTTCTTTTTTTGGTTTTTTTAAGACAGGGTCTCTCTATGTGGTCCTTGCTCTCCTGGGACTCACTCTGTAGACCAGGCTGTCTCAAACGCACAGATATCTGCGTGCCTCTGCCTCCTGAGTGCTGGGATTAAAGGTGTGTGCCACCACATCTAGCTGGTCTTGTTTTTCTTTCTCTGAACTGGAGGGTTTCACTCACCTTGAATATTTTTATGCTAAATTTACAGTTCATGGTTTCTATTCCCCATGGGTGATATAAATTTAGACCCCACACCCATAAGTGGCACAAGCATAGGGTGTTAATTACTCATGTGTGACTTTTTCTTTCTCACTGTGAATGGTTTTTTTGCTGCTGCCCCAAAGGAATGGTGTCTGAGCATGTGTGTATGTGTATGTGAGTTTGTGTGTATGTATGTTTTATGTGTACATGTATGTGTTTGTGTGTATGCTTATGTTGTGTGCATTTGTATATGTGTATGTTTAAGTGTTTGTACATATATTTGTTTGTACGTATGTATTGTATATATATATATGTATGTGTGTTTAAGTATTTGTGTGTATATGTGCATTTATGTATATATGTGTGTATATGTGTGTGTGTTTGTATGTATATGTGTGTGTATGTGGGTGTGCGTGAGTACGTGTGAGTGTTCCTTTATGGATGTCATATCCTTTAAAGGATCCACTTTAGCTCCTCATCATCCGCAGACTAGGGTCAGTTCTGGAGTTGGCAGTTTGTCCTCAGCTGTGAGCCCCGGAGCCTCCATGCATGGGATTCCAGGATCCCGGGTTCTCTCTCTCTGAGCAGCTGTGTCTTCCTCTCTCGCGCACTTCTGTTTTTGCTTCTGTCGTCTGCTGTCATCACTCTTTGTTGTAGACCTGGCTATATAGTCACGCTTTAGGGGATGTGCATTTCCCTAAAAAGAGACCCTTCAGTGCTAGCCCTTACTTTAGTTATTATTATCTGACCATTTGTCCTGCTTTTACTTAGCATTTTTTTCTAAGAGATTTATTTATTTATTATGTATACAGCATTCTGCCTCCATGTATGCCTGCAGGCCAGGAGAGGGCACCAGATCTCATTATAGATGGCTGTGAGCCATCATGGGGTTGCTGGGAATTGAACTCAGGACCTCTGGAAGAACAGCCAGTGTTCTTAATCTCTGATCCATCTCTCCAGCCCTACTTAGCATTTTTTTTATTGTAGTAAAATCCACATAACATAAAATATAGCTTAAGGCATTGCTGTCTGGCTGTCACCATGCATCTTTAGAACTCTGTTACCATTCCAGACTGACACACTGTATTGAGCACCAGTCCTTACCCCTCAGCCCCTAATAGCAGGCTGCTTTCCATCTCTTCTCCAGGTCACTCAGAAGCAAGATCATACAGTGTTTGTCCCTTTGTGTCTGGCCTTTTTCATTAGCATAATGTTTTTGAGCTTCATGCATGTTGTAGCATGGGTCAGGACTTTATTCCATTTTGTGGCTGAATAATTTGCCATTGTATATACTCATTGTGTTTATCCATTCATTTGTTGATGGACATTCAGGTTGTTTCCATTTTTACCTATTGTGACTAATGCAGCTGTGAACATTAGTGTACAAATATCCACCTTCTTCTTGAATACATTCTTTCTTGTTGGAAGAAAATCAAACATTAAAAACAAAGCCAGTCTTCCTTCCTGGTCCCTTCCACCGCAGACATCTTTCCAGCGTGCATAGTTCAATGGCTCAAATTAGTCATTTGTGTTGCAAATCACCTTTTTAAAAAACTTAAGAGTAGCCTTGAAGAGCTTTTTATATGGGAAACAGATTCATCCCATTCTTTTTACCTGCACTATTGCACAATAGAGGCACCATCATTTACATAAACATTCTGCAGTGACAGACATTTTTTGTTATGAAAAGAATACTTTAAAATTTCTTTTATTTTTAAAAATTATGTATACTTGTGTATGTCTGTGTGTGGTTAGATGCACATGAGGGCAAGTACCCACAGAGACCAGAAGAGGGCATCAGGTCTCCTGGAGCGGGAGCTACAGATGGTTGTGAGCTGCCCAACATGGGTGCTAGGAACCAATCTTAGCTGCTGAGCTCTCTCGCTAGCCCCTCTTCTTAATTTATTATTATTATTATTATTATTATTATTATTATTATTATTATTAATGTTAAAACAGCATCTGGTTGTCCTGGAACTCATTATATAGACTAGATTGGCCTTAAATTCACATAGATTGGCTTGCCTCTGCCTCCAGAGTACCTGGTTTTCTTAAACACATTTTTTGTCCATCTTCTATTGGAATATTTGTCTTTTGCTTATATTTATAAGGAAGTCTTTATATATTCTGGATGTAACTTATTTTCTATTATTGAATTAGTTACTTTTCTCTTGACTGTGACTCAAGGCCTGATAGGAAGAACTTCAAGGAGGAAAGGGTTATTTTGTCTCAAGGAATACAATCTATTATTTCTGAGAAGGGACCACTTCTTCCTGGATCAAGAAACAGAGAAAGGAACATGCCTGAACTCAGCTAGCTTTTTCCTTTCCTTTTCTTTTTTCTTTTTGTTAAACAGGTGTCTATGTGTGTGGTATGTGTACCTGTGTGTCTGCATGTTTATATGTGTGTGTGTGTATGTGTGTGTGTGTGTGTGTGTGTGTGTGTGTGTGTGTGTGTGTGAGTGAGAGAGAGAGAGAGAGAGAGAGAGACCAGAGTTAGACATTAGGTTCCTTTCTCAATTATTTTCTACCTTATATATTGAGGCAGGGTTTCTTGGAGTTTGTTGACTCATCTGGTTAGTCTGGCTAGCTAGCTTGCTAGGGGCTGATATCACAGGCAGGTTGCCACACCCACCCACATTTATGTGAGTGCTGAGGATCTGAACTCAGGTGCTCACACTTGTGTAGCTAATGAGTGCTTTGAGCCATCACCTTAGCCTCCCCTTTGTTCCTGTTCATTCAGCCCCAGCCTGTGGGATAGTGTGGCCCACATTCGGCATGGGTCTTCCTCCCCCAGTTAATCCGCTCTGGAAGCCTTCATAGAGACCCTTACAGATCCAAAATTGTGCATCATTAATGTCCTAGACTTTTCGTAGTGCACTAAAATTGACAATCAAAATGAGCCATCACAGCTGT